GCCAACATCATAACACTAGAATTACAAACACCAACTTCACAATAGCATCATCACGACGCCAGCATCACAACACCAACATCACGATGCTAACATTACAACACCAACCTCAGAGATCCAGTTGATGCTCGCATGTTTGTTATTCTCGTAGCGGTTATGATTACTGAAGACTAAATATCTTTCGACGTGAATATACATGCTTGTCAAACTAGTATGTATCTCATCTCATTAGGTTCTTCTAGAACGTGATATGGTCATTGCCCTTGTTGAGCTCGCAATAAATAATATGTTGAATAATCTTGGGTTATCAAACAAAAGCCTGAACACTATCAAGAGAAATTTCATATCACTTCAGACATCAGGAAAGAGATGCAAGGAACAACCAGATCAATGAAGAAACGACGACGTTTTTTCTTTTTCTTATGTGTGTTTTGGATAATAATAAGGTATTATATATATCAACACAAAAATAGAACACGAAACATTGGATTTACGGAAACTGCAGAAGCCCTATTGGCACTTTAGCGGTAGCTCCTATTTATATCCACCAAAATTCATTCATATATATATATGTCTAGCCTACAGTTGAAACAATCAAGTGTCCCACCTCTATGAATATAGAGTGGATAAAAGTTGGTCTTGTGCGCAAAGGTTACCCCGCCGCTGATATAGAACTTGGTTATATACACTCGATTTAAGAACTACAGGCTACCACATTAGTTACGGCGACTTCTCTACCTATATATAAGATGCACGGAATTAACAGTGGCTCACCTTGCGTCTGTAGTCTTCTAAGGTATAGGTAGAAACTATCCTAGGCTTCGGAGTTAGGTAGGCGAAGGATGAAACAGACGACTGATGAAGTCCCGCTGTACTGCCAACAGATAATAATACCCCACAGTCACAGAGGTCTGCCCAGCAAGGTGCTGTCTATGCTTTCCAGTAGCCGACCTACTGTTGGTTCATCTTTTGCTTTCTTCTGTGCTCTCATTTCGGAATTAAATGCCTGGCCACCCAATGTGCATCCTAAAGGGCCCAAGACTAAGGGCATCATATCATCTTGCCCGACACCCCAGGCAGGGTCATCAACTCATGCACAGTTGCTGAGTTTATCTTGATCCGTGATGTGATGCGGACGAATGAGACTGTAGCTAAGATACACACAGTTCAGAATGTACATAAAATGCCAAGTAAATACTACTGAGTTTTTCAACAATATTTTGCATGTAGACAGTACATATGGTAGGAAATATATCCTAAATCTAAAGACAATGGCAAAATATACACTTTTCACTCAAATGTGGCAACGTTCATAGCTCTTACTTGCTAAACCATACGTAAAATAACATATGGCACTCTAAAAATAACGGGATGCACTTAAGACTAGTTTCATGCACTAAAATCTAAAATATTTTAAATGCAAGTATATAACATGAATTTGTCACTCTTATAAGTCGAAATTTCTAAATAACACTTATTTCAGGAAAAATCACTTACATGTTCACCTAAATATACGCTTGGCACTTAAAACAAGGTCACGCACTTAAAGCTAGAATATTTTTCAATGCAAGTGAAGATCAGGAAGCCACGTCTCCTCCAAAAGTGGGCGTTACTAAACCACACTAATTCAGATAAAATCACTTGTATGTTTAATGAATCACTAGACTTCCTTAAAACAAATGTTTCACTTGAGGCATACACCTGAAGAAAGGCTGTTGTAATAAACCACAACGGCGCCGGCAAGAGGATGAATTTTGCACTGGGGAGCACAGGCACAGCTGAGAGGCTCACAGCCAACTTGTAAACAATAATACTGGCATTCAGGATTCACTGGAGGCGCTCATGAACGGAGTGGCTGAATCCGGGAAGCCAACAACCACTCCCCCATCTCTTACAAATAAAGCTAACAGAAACACTTGAGAAACACAAGCAAAGAGGAATGAAACTCTATAACAGTAGTAAAGAAAGCACATTTCAAATGAATTTGGTAAGTTGATATGCTTACTAATGCAGAGTAGCGGCATCGTAGAGGAGCAAACATGGCCACTTCCGGGAAGGTCAACAGCGTCGTCGTGAGAACGTTGAAATCCCCAGAAAATATACTGAACAGCGGAAAATTGTCAAAAAATTAAGAAAATAGCATTACCATAATAACAAGGTGCATATAACACGAACTTAACCTTTAAAAAAAAGCCTGGAAGAGATGCTTGCTAAGAGAGATTGGTAACCAAAACGCGAACAATCATTGAAAAACTCGGAACAAATACATGAAATGGGGAAAAATTCACATGAACAGTAATTCTCAAAGAACACAGCTGAAGGAATCATGCAGTAGCAACAATAACACTGGAGAACATCTAAAGTGCAACGAACCACAATTAAACGAGAAAGTGATCCATTGACCACAACGAAGAAATTTCAACTGGAGTTGTTTGGGTGACGACATAATCAACGTGGCGAGGTCCTCTTGAACACCGCGTGGAGTTCGTCACTCACTGTGGCATTACAGAGGGCTACCACACTGATAGCCCTCTAGATGGCGGCTCCTCCACCTGTGTACAAGGTGCACGGAATTAACGGAGACTCACCTTGCGTTTGTAGTCTTCTGAGGGAGAGGTAGAAGCTATCCTAGGCTTCGGAGGCAGATGAGGGATGAAACGGACGACCAGAGAGGTCCTGATTTACTGCCAACAGATAATAAGAGTCCCGAGTCAAGAGGTGGATGCACAGGAGTTTGTCCAGCAAGGTGTTCTTTCTCCCTGAGGCGTAGTACCCCGGGGGATGGCGCATCCAAGTGATTCCTTGGAGGGAAATGCTCCCGCTAGCGGGCAATTTAAATGTGGCTCCCTCTACAGAACAATAATTTGTTAAACTAGCATCTTAGATCTTAGATTCTCATATCTCAATTCTTACTCTGTCCTCATATACCTCTCAGTTTTTCGGGTCATTTTACACGATCTTGTCATAGTCTCCTCTGGATTTCCGAGTTTTCTACTACGTTTTCTCTAAAACGATTTCTCTATCACGTTTTCTCTTACACAAGTTGCTCACAGGCTTCCTATATTTCTTATTACATTTAGATATAATACATTAAACTTATCGTTTGGTATTATTAACACATTAAAAGTTTTCTATAGTTTATTATTTATTATTAAGATGATAATATGTATGTCTAGAGGGGTACACGGACTGCATATTTAATATTTTACTGTCAACATAGGATTACAAGTATATCGTGTTTTTATAATTGTAATTATCATTTGTATGTTAAATTGTAAATTTAGTACATTCATTAGAATACTTTTGGCAGCCCTGGGTCAGTGAACCGTGGATCATACATTGATGAGTATGGGTATTTGGCGTGTTTTTTTTTATGTTAAGTTTTTACTCTTAGTTTTGTTCCTGGTTAGGCCTTGTTTAATATATCTTCAAATTCAAATGTTTATTCAGGTAAAGTACATACATACAAGGTGTGATACAGATATTGATGAATTTATAGATAGAGCTAGTACATACAATGCCTAAAGCCACTATTACGCAAAGCGTTTCGGGCAGGAAAAAACACTAAAGACTAAAACTAATTGAGATTAAAGTATAAAATGTGTTGAGAAAATATAAAAATAAAAAAGGGGGGAACATGACAGAAAAACAGCAAAAATACAATTAGGTCGACAAACAGCATTGTTTAAAAATAACAGACATGGGTTGACATTATAGGGGTAAGGTTGGTTACAGGGAATTAATTAGGTAGTGCTTAGTTTTTATCTTAAACTGGTTGAGAGAGGTACAGTCTTTAACATGATTGGGAAGGTCATTCCACATTCTAGGTCCCTTGATTTGTAGAGCATTTCTAGTTTGATTAAGTCGTACTCTTGGAATATCAAAAAGGTATTTGTTTCTGGTGTGGTGCTCATGGGTTCTGTTACAACCTTCAATAAAGCTTTTAAGGTCAGGATTGGCATTACAGTTCAGCGTTTTATATATATATATATATATATATATATATATATATATATATATATATATATATATATATATATATATATATATATATATATATATATATATATATATATATATATATAATGCACATGAGAGGATGTGGCAGTGTATAGGTACAGGATATCTGGCAGTGATACATATTTTAGTGAATCTTGTAACGTTTATGAATGCTGAGACCATAATGGATCATTTCTTGATATTTAAGCTTGGTAGATTATTACTTGAAGTCCTTGCCACCGAGTAGCTGGTTGTCTTAGATTAAGCTTATCTGAGGTAATTAATAGTTCGTGCATTTTTGCTGTCCTACAGTATCTGGACTAATTATATCTGCACCAATGAGATTATGTATGTTAACTGTATTACTGCTGATACAATTTGATAATTATACTGCTTGCACATTAATGTATATGACAACAAGGGTGCGTCCCAAAATGGACTCTTGCAGCACTCCACTCACCACATTTCTATAGATTCATTTCCGCTTAACACGACATTTTGTTTTCTTTGTTTTAACCAGTGTTTTATCAATTTCCTTGCCAGTCCTTCATGTGGTACCTTATCAAAAGGTTTAGCGATCCCTGGCTACAACGGGCCATAACTAACAAAAATTGTTAGTTGTTAAATTGTTAGACGTGGAGACTAAAATACCAAAATACTAAAAAATAACTTATTTAATAACGCATTTTGAGAAAAAATAAAGTGTATAAGGAACATGAAATATAATAGTTTGTAGAACGTATAAATCTGATTTGCGAACGAGAAAAATATAATTAACTGACATTTATTAGTCAAATAAAACTAGTCCCACTTGAAAAATGTCATTAACTGAATATTGCTTGTGTTTTATAAATATTTTGTCTTTATTATTGAGATTACTCTCATGATTATTACATCCTCTCTATAAATGAGGATCGTTGGCTGGCGTCAAACTAGTTAATAATGACTTCGAATCACGAACTTTTCCAACAAGAATTACCTAAATGGCGTTATGAATAAACGTATTACATTATTATTTATTTATTTTGAAGTTGCAAGATTGTCATCTAGTTCAATTAAATATAACATAATTAGCAAAACACTCTTTTTAAAGTGCACTGCTTTATGAATATATTCAATGTATTAAATAGGATACAATACATAATTGTATCATACAGATACAATACATAATTGTATCATACAGATACAATACATAATTGTATCATAGATACAATACCAATACCAACAATGTGCAATACATACAATATGAAACAAATAACTTCATGTTACTTTACAAACAGAAAACACAATAGCGTGATGCATCAAATGAACAAATCCACAAGGGCTGTGACGAGGTTCGAACCCTCGTCACGGCCCTTGTGGATTTGTTTATGTTACTTATAAAACTTTCTTATATACCGGTACATGAATAATCATTAAACACATACATAATAATTATAATTTGTACAATTGATTTCCCATTGTTAGGGACAGGAAGGATGTTAGGCTTGTCTAGGTCCCTTCCTCCCTGCCCTAGGTCACTGACCTTCAGCAGGATGAAACCTACAACTTTTGACTAGCCCGGGCACCTATTTACTGCTAGGTGAACAGAAACATCTGGTGAAAAGAAACGTGCCCAACCGTTTCTGTCCTGACCGAAGATTGAAACTGGGTCCCTCTACCGTGAGTCGAGTATGTAGATTCCTATACTACAAGCACATATTTAAGTTGTGAACCGACTTCACTGTGTAAAGTACGACTCATCAGTTAATAATTCGGAACTATCCAAACTCTGTCTCACATGTTAACTTGAAGAACCACTTTGACAGCGTGACTAAAGATTATATCCTTATGATGGATTATATCAGTTCATTTCTGACATTATTCCATCATTATTTTAACTAACATTTTCAGTGCTTGAAGCTTACGTTTAAGTAAAAACAGTAAACAGTTTTGCATGAGAAAAATAAGCAGAGATCAAATAAATTTCAATTACACAAAATAAACACAAGCTGAGAAATAAGTATGAACATGAAGCGTTATGAAGAACATGAAGCATGAACATGAGGCTCAAGAGGTATACCAGCACAGGGTGCAAGTGCTATAATTAACGAGAGATTATATCAAGATGATATACCATAACAAATATATTCCCTATTTTTTACTAATAAACATTTTAACAAATCCGATTTTTTTTTTGTAAAACCGTCTTAACAATTAAATTGTAAGATGTTCCTATGTTTTGCAGTTTTAAAATAGTAACACTCGGGATTTACACACTACAATGACCTTAAACAGTAAAAAAAACCTGCCAATAATTTAAGATACAGTAATGTATATGCAAATCCATATGACTGTTTAAATACATTTGCTAAACGTAGCCTATGTTATGCCCAAAAGCACCAGCATTTGGTCTCCTTCGTACCTTTCAATCTCGGCTTGCTATTTGTAAGTAATATGGAGGGGAACTCTTCAGAGTTCGTCTCTTCAGAGAGACGTTTCACTGCCATTGCTGGACAATGAGCACAGAGGCGAGTGGGAAAGAGTAAGAATGCCATCCTCTGATTCACTGACAGATGGATGTCTCTTGGGATCACTTTTATCAGGCGAAGTTACGTGAAATGATGAGGAGGTTGACTTCAGTGTAGAAGTCAATGTGGAAATACTTGAAACTATAGATGAAGTTGATATTTTTCTACTAACTTTGGAATTAATTGAACACACCTGCGAAGGAAGTCTGGAGTTTTCATTACTACAGAACAGAAATGATCCGCATTTTTTGAAAAACATTTTTAGGTGGTTTGCAGCCACAAAAGGCCCCGGATACTTTTTCTTGAGATGCTTGCGCTTACTTTTATTTGCCAAAAAGATCAGAAGGATAATGAAGCCTTGGAGTGTATTCAAGATATCAGTTACTGCCCTGAAAATAAAAGTAGTAACTGTAGTACTTTTAAAAAATTAACATTTAGTAACAAAAATAATTTACACAGAAAAATATGAAGCAAATACTCACTAGGAATTAATAATGGCTACTAAACATGTTGCTTTAAGATACCAGAATAAGCACAGTACTCTAGTACAAAACAAAATTTGACTAAGGATGGTTTAAGTGCTGCATTTTTATATTTATGATTAGCCATTGCAATGCTCGGCTCACTGCATTTTTATACTATATTCAGTTACTGTACTAATTTTTTAAATAACAAAAATGGTTTATAAAACAATACAATCAGACATTGGACCCACAATACTAACCACATCTCGTCTGGAGGAATCTTCCAGGAGAGAATCTCAGTAATCCAGCATATTGACATCAGTACCAACAAAGAGAACTGTTGCTTGAAGCTGCAAATTAAAAGTTTATTAAACAATTGCAATTCAAAGCGTCCTTTAATAATACTGAAACAATATATGATCTATATTTTGGATAAACTAGCTGAACTAATTTCCATATAAAACTGAACAAGTTGATCTTTGTCTTTAAAAACAAAATACCAACCAAATGCTTAATGAACCGCACAAAGAACTGGTATAATACTGCCGGGGTTAAATAATCTGCCTGTTACTATGTTAGGCATATCAAGGTCTCCCTTGCCAAGTGAGGATGTCCACTAGAGGTGACCTCGATGAGTCTCTCAGGATTCCTGACCTGGACAATTGTATACTAGCACAGTACACTGTACTGTACACAGTACACTGTACTACCAAAACACTGTACTGCAGGAGAATACTTACTCAGATATATAGTCTCGTCTTCGGTGTACTTGGTCCAAGGAAGTCTGCACTGTAGCATTAGTGCCGGATTTATCAATGCTAAAGTTTCTCAACACTGCTGAATTGGCTTCAAATGTTTTATAGTTCCAATATGTATGTCCGATGAAGAAAATGTTACAGGCAAATAAAAATGCTATGGGGCCATAGAAATACAAGAAAAGCTCCAGGTCACCTGAAAAAGTGATTTTTTTATATTACACATTGTTTTATTGTAAGACTATATTTTAAAACCTTCACCTTAAATCTTTGCTTCAAACTGACAAATTGATTATCTATTATATTATTATTAAAAATTATCTATTATATTATTATTATTACAAAGCCATATACAGTACTCTATGATGCAGTGTAATCAATACAATAAGGTGAAATTTCAAAATTTTAGTTACTTAAATTTTTAGTAAAATCTTCACATCTGACACTTAACGCGTTGGCTTGTGCAGTCCTTTCTGACTGAGCATCACTAGAGAATTAGTGCAAAAAATAAGAAATCTCACACTCAGGGCACAGTCTTAAGGCTGAAAGTTAGTTGAGCTATACATCGAGAATTTGTAGTGATTTAGAAGTTAACAGAAGTACAGTCAATTTTAAACACTATTAAAACAAGTGCATTTATTAGGGGGTGTTGGTGTTGAAATTTTGGCATTGATTATGTATGGTGTCCCATTGTCGGTGAAGCCATCTACAATAGTCACCCAATCGACTTGAGAATGGTCCACGACGGACTGAAATGTCGTCGTCCCTTCACTTTCTAGAGTGTGGTCTGGTCAACATACTTCAGCCACGTTATTGTGACTCATCGCCTGCAAATAGTCACCCAACTTCTGGGTGTCTGGCAACTGCTAGGTGATGAAAGGCATCACATTGAAAGAAAAGTGCTCAAACGTCTCTGTACTGCGCAAGAATCGAACCCGAAACCTATTTTGTTGTGAGCCTACTGCGCTGACTGACCACTGAACTAGTTAGGAAAGACTGTGATAATGAAAAATAATATTGATGAAGAAGTTATATTTTTTATAAGCAATACTATGTGAGTAGAACCACACGGCTCTTTGGAAGATGTCATTTAATTAAAAAAAGAGGAGAATAACAATAGGACAGAATACTATTGTGAAAAAATTTTGTGCTTCTATGCTTTACTTTTGAACTGCAAATGTAAAGTAACTTCATTTTATTATAGAGTTCCCCACTTTAGAGCCATTTATTTGAAAAGTGTGTTTGCATATATTTCGTTGGACTGGAAATGCCATTAAGGGTTAATAGGCGAGAGCTGGTATGTTTCGGACAATTTTCACCAAAATATTTGCATAAAATCAGATATTTGAGGAATACATGTTTGAATTGTGCTATAGCATTGTTAAACCAGGAGTGTGCCAGTCACGAGTCTACCAGAAGAAGAGAAGACTTTCACTAAAGAAACCCCCACAGGAACAGACTCTGGAAGCATTGTGTGGGACACCACAGAAGAGTAACAGTTTCTGACCACAGAAGTAACAAAACACCACAAAAAAGTAACAGTTTCTGACCACAGAAGTAACAAAACACCACAGAAAAGTAACAAAAAGAAGCCTGCATGGAAAACAGAAACCCTAGAGAATTACCAGGAGGAACAAATTACCATCTCCTCTTAATACAATTTATAAAAGTGCCTAGAAATGTGACAGAGATTATCTTGAGATGATTTCGGGGCTTTAGTGTCCCCGCAGCCCGTGACAGCTGACTAACTCCCAGGTACCTATTTACTGCTAGGTAACAGGTGCATCAGGGTGAAAGAAACTCTGCCCATTATTTCTCACCGGCGCCCGGGATCGAACCCAGGACCACAGGATCACGCGTCCAGTGTTCTGTCTGCTCAGCCACCAGCTCCCCAGTGGTAGATGCATACATGTATATAAAAAAACATACATTACGCATACCTTCAGAACTTCGTTGTTTGACTGCACTTTTAATGTAAGGATCCCTTCCACCTTCACCCTCGAATCACATTTTTTGAAAAATTATCCTCTAAATACACTGCTATTTTCATGGCCGCTTGTTTTTCCAGTTTTCCTTTACCTAGCTTCTTGATTAGTTACCATCCTATTCCTTCCAATACATCTGTAGTAGGCATGGAAAGGAAGATGCACCCGATATAACCAAGTGTTCTTTATATTTGCCCGAAAAGTTAAAGTTATTCTTTATTTGCCCGAAACGCTATGCGCATTAGTGGCTTTAGGTATTGTATGTACTAGCTCTATTTATAAATCCAACAGTATGTTTGTAACTCTGCGTCTATGTATGTACTTTTCCTAAATAAATTATTATTATTATTATTATTATTATTATTTGTCATTCGTCGCTGCCAAGACTGGCCTCACGTTCTAGCGTCCCAGTGATGTGTGTCAACATCTCCCCCCCAACCCGTTCTCGCACTTTCTTACAGTCAATATTGACTTATTAAATACGTGCATATGTGACATACTAAACATACTAGTTTACCTTGAAAAGCTTCATAGAAAACACTGACCTTACCTAACCTTCTTAGTATGTTAAGATAAGCATCTTATTGCTTCGTAATTACAATTATTACTTAACCTATTATAGGTATAGGTTTTCTCACTATTCCCTCACTATTTCTTGGTGTTGGCCCATCTTCCAGGGTCTCATAGAGAAGGATCCCATTTGCTTCTGGCCAGAGGCATCCCTCTCAACTCCATACTTGACCAGGTTATTAATACTGCTTACTTGACAGTTCTCATGCCCGTGTTCTTAACACTGCTTACTTTACGGTTCTTGTGCCCTATGTTCTTAGATCTCCTTACTTGACGCACAAGGTGTCACTTTTTTAATAAACTAATATCCTATTTTGAGACATTTCTTACCCTGGTAATTAATAACTCATTTGATACAGGTAAAGTTTACTTGAGACATTTACACTTACCTATGAACCAACATCTTGCCTCACCAATGTAGGGTTTATGAAGGCCTGGTACATTATCTGGTGCCAGGAACTGCATACATATTGTAATGATTCTGCAATGAGGTTGACACATTTTATTATATGGGGGTAATTATGGTCATTTATGGCAATACAAATTTTATAATATAGAATAATAGTATTATAAAAAAGCATTTTTGATCAGGTGCAACTCAAAGCAAGCTATACGAACCCAATCAGCGATGGGCCTCCAAAGGCATAAAGCGGGTAGACCCAAACTGCCACGACTGTTGGAGGGAGATATCTGCTCAGGCTCCTGTTGGAGAATTGATGACCGATGTACATGACATTGCATTTTTTTCTCCAAAGCAGTTAGTGTCTTTCAATATAAAGCACTAATTCCAAAACATAAGGCAATTAAAACCCTAATTATGGCCCAAAATAAATCTGGCAGAAACATGCCTACTTACCTAACCTTTCTCCAAACTTCAAAGCAGAGAACACTTAGCCAGAAGAAAGTGGCAAGATATCCAAACTGCATAAGTAGTGCTGTGGAAGAAAATACATTTATAGAAGACATTCGAGATTTATATATTGTTTACTGGAAAATCCACACACAGCAACAAAAGTGCCGAGTTACCAACAGTTGATCAAGTTTATAAAGTGAAAATAATAAGGAAGAGTTAGTAAAGAAAGAAATTCAGTAAGACAAGTCCCAAGGCCCCCAACTATTTTCCTTGGTCTTAAAAGAATCTAAAGCAGAGTTAGTTAACCCGTGTCACTTATAAAATAATTACTGTTGGCCACTGTTCTATAAATGTGGAGTGTTTCAAATTTAGTCCTGATATTTAAAAACGAGGATATAGCATGCATTGATGAAACTATCATCCAATTAGTTTAATCTCAATCGTAAATAAAAATACTTGAGTTAATAAACACTTGTACTTTCCTTGTAAAATACATCACAGAACGGGGAGAGGGACATCACCACTGTGGCACCCGGGGGGCTTACCCCACTTCCTTAGGGGGGCTTACTCCCACACTGCCTCACCGAACGCACTAGTATTAATCGACTACTGCATTCAGAACAATACAGTGGTATTGTATTGATACAATAGAGTAGTAGTTAATTAGCAAAGGCGTGCCCCATGGCTCTGACCTTGTACATCTATTGTTCAACACATATGGATGAATATATATTATTAGTAGTAGTAAATTTGTAATGAGTACAATAACTGTGCTAATGTTATATGGATGATATACATTTAGAATATAATTTCTTTGTTAAGCCCCCATATATGCTCAGCATTTTAGGCAAGTACTATTTACTCACATTTATCTGAGGGCAATCACCTCTCTTTTCTAGTGACCTTGAAGTCCTTTCCTAATTATTTGAGTATTTTGTCCCATTGATATATTTTGATTTGATTTATCCCAAACATATATTTTGATTTGAAGCATTGCTTTGGTATTTGTGCTTTCAGCATGAAGACGATTTCATGGTTTTATTATCTTATAAATCGTGTTATCTGCCTTACATACATACATGCCCCCCCCATGTAGTGAGTAGATGGGTGTAGATAGATGGGCCCCCGCGAGGCGATGGGGGCCTCGCGGCTAAGTGGACAGCACTCTGGGGTTGTAGTCCCAAGGGCAAGGGTTTGAATCCCAGCAGAGGCAGAAACAAACGGGCAGAATTTCTTTCACCCTGGTGCCCCTGTTTACCTAGCAGTAAATAGGTACCTGGAAATTAGACAGCTGCTGCGTCCTGGGGATGTGTGTGCATGTGTTTTAAAGATAAATATACAGTCTGTAGTAGTCATAATAGAGAAAAAATAAATTGGTTAGAAAGAGGAGGTCCAAGAGCTAATAGTTCGATTCTGCAGATACAAATAGTAAACACATATACATACATAATGCCACACAACCGTTGTGGTACAATGCCAGTTATGTTTTTAATGTAGAACTCATCTCCAGACTGGTGTTGACTGCAGACACCAGTCCATGTAATAACCCTTTAAGATCCTACAGGAGGCTTAGCTCACTACAGGCAACTTATGACAATAGCATCCATTACAGCTAAGTCCCTTTAATTGAATTTCGTTTAGATATAATTCTTTTTTACCTTTGTGTATATGTATTTTATTTTAATTGAGGATTTAGGGTAAAGAGTTTCAACACATTACAATTAATACAAGTAATTGTAAATTACAATAAGAAAACAATTGATTACTGTTAATTACAATAATTGTAAATTACAATAAGAAAACAATTGATTACTGTTGTTAATTACAATAATTGTAAATTACAGTAGGAAATAAAGTGATTACTATTGTTTATCTTACTTTCGTTCTTTTTCTCTTAGCCATAATATTACTTACCAGAGAAGCTTAGCATAATTAAGAGGTTCGTAGAGCCAATTAAATTTGTATGCAAACACTACGTAATATCATACGAAAGCCTAATGTACTTTATAAATAAGATGATTTATTCATGTCTTAATTTTGCAAAGTGAACATGTATACACAACTTGTTACAAAACTGTGCGACTTTTCCTAAATTATTTGACATTTCAAATAATATTTGTACTGTAATTGAATGAACCAAATAATATAAATAATAAATTTTCCACTATATTTATAATAAATTTAGGGAACAAGAAATAAATTTAATGTGTGCGTTGAATAGATGATTTTAACCAGTTAAGCAAAATTCAACAAAAGAATAACTTACCCATAACAACGCAGGCTAAATCGTTCATATATTTATTAGTGATCCGCTGGGTAAGGTTGGAGGAGTAGGCTAGCATGAGGGAGAGTACGTGCCACAGCTGGTACCAGCCGCCGTTCTTCAGCAGCTCCGGTATCTTGCAGTAACACGCCACTGTCAGGGACATGGACAGCAGGGAGATCACCTGACATGCTGGAAACACTATAAGACGGGCTTGGTCCCATTTTGAAAGACTAGTCAGACAAGCTAAAGCGCTGTTCTGTAAATTGCCTTGAGCATTGTGGAATGTATCTAGGCAGTAGTCAGTGGGAGGAAAAACTCTACTTTTGTATATCAGGTTTCCCTTGTTATCCAAGGTAAAGTTATTCACAAGAGTTTGAGGTTTACAGAGCGGCATTCCTTTCACTATCTTATACGACAGCGTAGTAGTGAAGGGTGATTTGAAGGTTACATTACTGTAGTCAATGCATCTATGGATGGAAAAGTCCATTATCTGGTTATCATTACAACACTTGCGCACACAAATGTTACCTTTACAAATTTTGTGGTGTTTCTCCCTTGGGTCAGAGTAACACAAATTAGCAGTATAGGTAAGAGATCCGTCCACATTATGCTGTTGATCCACGCAAAAGTCTGGAGTAAAGGTGTATTTTTTTTTCACTAATTCATTAGGTAAATTCCAAACGTGTATGACACCATGGGGAAGTGACATTAAATAAGAGTCTATAGAACCAACTGGGAGTGTTTTCAGAGGATCTGCAGTACAGCTGATGGGATTGTGGTGGTTCCTGACAACCGGCCACATGACGCTACTCTTATCAAGTCCGGCGGAGAGTGGCGGTATCAGCAGATGGGGGGATCGAGCTGGACTACAAACCCCACTACTGAAGGTCTGGCCTTCAGGGCAACAACGCGGTATAGAAGGTGGGGGAATGCATCCCTTCATCATCCACGTGAGACGCTTTTGGTCATCCAGAAGATGGCTGACGCAGTAGTTTTCAATGCGGAGACCACTCAGATAACCAGCATCATCCGTGAGCACTATGTCCCCACGATCCCGAAGGAAAAACTGTCCCTTTGTGAAGTTCATTTGTCGATGGTCATCCTCTACGTCGCAGCTCAGATCTTGCACGATAACATTCAGATCAGTTACAGATTTCTGTAAATAAAAGTGACGGAATCAAAATATATTAGAAAATTAAGAAAGAATAATTGTCATTAAAAATAAAGAATAAGAGCCCGGTCCCAGACTTAGCTCTCCACTTTTAGTTATGATTAATACGATTGCATAAATAAATCACATTAACATGATATATCAATGAGAAAATCTGTAGGAGCCATGATAAGGATTCGAACGTGCAATCTGGGTACCCCCAAACACACGCCTTAGACTACTACACCTTGACATGATCAAAAGAAATGCAACCTGGGATTCAAATGAATCCTCTAGGGACCCTGAAGTGATTGTAGTGGTCTAAGGCGTGTGCTTCGGAGTACCCAGGTTCGAATCCTCCTCATGGATCCTACTAACTTTCTCATTCATACGAGTCCTATGTAAATCAATCAATAAACATCGATACGATGTACAGTACGATGACATCCTGCAGGTCACGACAAGAATCACACACACACTTCATTATATGACCTGCACTGACCAAGCACTAGTGGCCAACACGCGTGTTCAGACCTAAAAGCTTTACCCCAAATATACAACGCTGTATGTGGTATATACATGACATGATACAAATGTGTTTTAAGCCATATATATATATATATATATATATATATATATATATATATATATATATATATATATATATATATATTATATATAACGGAGCATCATCATATATTATCTATGCATCTTTCTTCATATATCCAGGAGCACATATCCAGATGATCACACCACACACCAGAAAGTGAAGAAACAATGACGTTTCGTCGTCGAACTTGTAACAGTACCCGCTACAAGTTCAGGGAGGAATACTGCTACACGTTCAGAGATGGATATCACTACAAGTTCAGGGAGCGATACCAATACAAGTTCCGAGATGGATACCATTACAAATTCAAGGGATAATGGTAATGTTTACCTTGATATGAAAATTGTTAATGATACACAGTTAAGCTTACCGGGACAACGTGCGGACCATGAAAATCCTCTCGTCCCTCTCCGTCAATGGAAGTGCCTTCTGGATATGGCCGGCACCCTGCCGCTGTGAGTACTTCCTCGGGTCCACAGTGGCACTTGACCAGCTGGCCTGCCGCCATGTTCATCACCCTCGAGGGTGGGGTCTTCGTCGTCACTTCGAGTGGTGCCGCGCCATCCCCGGCTCCCGAAGCTGTGCCGACTCCTTGAGCGGCGGCTGGGCCTGGAGTGATAGTAGTAGTTGATGTCTGCTGCATTACACTATTACTGATGGTACTGGGTGGAGAGGAAGGCTCTGGACGGCGCGTGCTTGAAGGAGACGCCACTGTCATCGTAAACATCACCAACAAGGCCACGCTCATTGTCGCCATCTTCGTAGCTTCATTAAATACGCCCATATTTTCGCTGTAGGTCTGGAACGATGACACTCCACGAACAACCAGTCACTTGCCAATAATGCTAACTGGACTTGCCAATAAACAAACTAGACGTACTGGGCGATCGACTTCCTACTTTGATTCTTTGCACTGTATTTGTCAGTGGCAATATGCGGAATAACTATTACCAGAATTCGCACACAAAGCCCCATCCACTGTAGGAAAACCTGGTGGCAGGAGCAGCCTCCCTGTAGCCCCTCTCATGCATGCGGCTAACGCGAGACTGACTGCCGCTCCTACTACACACCCGCCGTCCCTGGCAGAACCGGTCCCCAGCAGGGCACCGCGCAGTTTACAACTATTGTTTTATATTACCATAAGTCTGTGACATTTGCACCACGACCATACTCTCGGGCAACGACCACCTTGCTACACCGCGAACACACTGGAGTCACCTTGGAACATAAAACGTCATCCACACTTCTGTAGAAAAACACATTCCATTTACCTGGGCTCTAGGGGACTCAAATCCTGGACCCCAAGCGTGTGAGGCCAAAGCTTTGTCGACTGGGCTATGAGTAGTCTTAGTAAGGAAAGTTTCCAGAAGCAGAATCTTGCTGCCTATCTGGAATTTTAGATTTTTGGAAAATTAATAAACCTTGGAACATGTAGACACCAAAGCCACCTTGGAACATACACGTACATTTAGCCCTAGTCTGACACTGACATGTAGTATGAAACAAGATCAAAAGAGGTAATTTAGGACCTTTGACTCATTACTCAAGACACTGTATTAAGGAAATTCTTTATAATTTGTCATATATACAATAAATAAATTAATTTAAAATCTGTGTGTTGAGTGCGACTGGCGGACCTGGATGTTACCTTTGTATTTTGGTCCAGTATGGTTCACAGGATGCCAGTGTGACTGGCAGACCTACCTGTTATTTGCTATTTTTTCCAGTCTTTGAAACTTTGGATCATATACAAGCTAGAGCAACCTTGGAACAAATACAGCAGCACTGGAACATTTAATTTTGCCCCAAAGGGCGAGTTTATTGGGCAGCGCCACTTAAGAATGGACATACCACCATAGCAGCATGTGCAACACCCTCCAATAGGAAGAAAACCCGCTGGGTTGTTAATGTTGTCATATGTACCCAGACACAGCTGGGACTGGAACGAATACACACAAGAGCAACCTGTTGGTATATACACTAGAGCAACATTCGAACACACACATTAGAGCAGTGGTTCCCAAGCTCTTTACGGTCAGTAACCATTTTTCAAATAGCGTCCTTATTAATGGCCCCGTACACTCGGTAAAGGCCATCTCTGGTATCATAACCTGTACACTGCCTCAACTTATGGCCCCTTACATATTGCAAAAAGGCCCCCAGTTTGGGGACCATATACACGCTAGAGAAAGCCCGGCGTCCAAGGACCCCCAGAAGAGAACCACTGATGATCCTGCGACCAGTTCCCAGTGTTGTATTAGGCTCTGAGCACAGAGCAATGTATACGTCTAGCATATTTAGAGACCTGGAACAAGAGTGCCCTATACTATCTCCTGCTGCAATTTGTGAGAACTAGCCGCCCCTCACCACGACCACCCTCCCCATACAATGACCACTCTCCCATACTACGACCATCCTCCAACACCACGACCACTCGCTACTACTAGAGGAAAGCGACCAGTAATTAGTAAGACTACGTACTAGGACTAAAACAATAACTGTTGGTGGATATGAATTAAAATATGGGTAGCGGTGATATTCAGTCCCTCACTAAACAGTAGAAAGCCTGAGGACCGAAGGGATAAATGCGACGAGACTTGCCTAAAGGTAATGTAAAAGGCAGCCATAGTGGCAAGAATCCATACCAAGGATTCTATTATTTTGGGATATTAATCGCAGAGCAATAGAGTAGAAAAATAAAGACCCCCACCGGGGTGATGGAACGTGGAGAGCAAAACTGGTAGACACAGCGGACAAGCATTTCTTGAACACACCACAGAGCCAAGAAGAGGAAGGGAAGAGGACCACCACCAACACTAGACCTGGTGTTAACCCAAAATGATGCCGATAACAGTAATAATAATAATAGGCCCGAGGAGCTGGAGACTACTGCATTATCTTGCTGGAGTACATAGCGGAAATAAGAAAGTTGGTAAGACCAAGAAGCACGTTGAGGAAGAGGAGAGATCACAGGCACGGGGGACTACAGTAAGGTGAGGGACTTTCTCAGTGAATTCTTGGAGGAGAAAACAGGAAGTGAAGGTAAGTAATGAGATGATAGAAGTTATTGCTCAGAAATATGCAGATACAACAGAGCTGTACATCCCACTTAAGGAGAAGGTGGATGAGAAAAGCAAATAAGGCCCTGATTTAATAGATCCAAGCATGCATGGAAACAGTATATAGACCTAGGAAAAGAGAACAATAGAAATGTACTCAAGAAAGCCAGAAACAGATATTTGAAAACAACATTGTTGCGAAAGCTAAGGACCAATTAAAGGTGTTCTATGTCCATATAAGGAGAAAACCATCAGTATGAAACCATGTGATAAAGTTGAGGAGACAAGATGGAATTCTTACAGAAAACAACAAGGAGATGTGTGAGGAAATGAACAAATGATTTCAAGTGGTCTCTACAAAAGAACCAGAGTGGAGACCGGTGTTGAGAGATGAAAAGCCAGAGGAAAAACTGGATGACAGTAGTTAGTCACTATGGAGGAGGTTAATAAAAAACTGGAGGAACTACTTTTAACAAAATCAACAGACTGCTGAAGAAGGCAACAGAAGTACTTTGTCACCCACAAACTCTTGTTTCCAATAAAACGTCGAGAAAGCATTTCGTGTAATATGCTGGAGAGAGTAACCAGGATGAGAATAATGAAGCACCTGGAGAGAATAAACTTTGTAACAGAGCGGGAGTGGGAGCCGCAAAGGAAGGACTTCCAGTCCTCCCTTACAGCCCCCACTGTCTCAAACTCTGTACGCGGTGCCAAGGTCGGCCCCGGTCAGTGGCACTGTCCACTCTCACTTCTACAAACATTAACAATGACGCACAAGAGAGCTTCAGCCAATGCGATACACACATGTCCAATGAGGCGACACACTGGCCAGCTGGTAGGGCATTGACTTGATCAAGGAATTGATAACTGGCAGGAAATGGGTCACTGACCCGTTGAGGCCAAAACCAAGTTCGCAGTTACAGCCCCGCTCCTGTGCCAGGCAAGTACACCATAGCCCGTACTACTTGGAGTTCACGAGACAAATACAAGACCCTGTAACATTGCTGACATATGAAGGAGGGGTTTGGGTGTGAGTGTGTACTCACCTAGTAGTACTCCTAGTTGTGCTTGCGGGGGTTGAGCTTAGTCGAGAGGCGGAACCAAAGAGCCAGTCAATGAACTGGTGTACAGATTCTGGAGCCTATTGGGCTCTATCAAATCTACATTTAAAACTGTGTATGGAGTCAGCCTCCACCACATCACTTCCAATGCATTCCATTTGTTAACTACTCTGACACTGAAAAAAATCTTTCTAATATGTCTGTGGCTCATTTGGGTACTAATTTTCAACCTGTCCCCTTGTTCGTGTTCCACCCCATGCTAAATAGTTTGTTTTTGTCCACACTGTCAACTCCCCTATTTTTTTTAGGTGGTGATCATGTCTCCTCTTTCTCTTCTATCTTCCAATGACGTGAGGTTTAGCTCCCGTAGCCTTTCCTCGTAGCTCATACATATCAGTTCTGGGACTAGTCTGGAAGCATACCTCTAAATCTTCTCTACATTTTTTTATGTTTAACTAGGTATGGACTCCAGACTGGAGCTCCATATTCCAGGATTGGTCTGACATAAGTGGTATACAAGGTCCTGAACGATTCCTTACAAAAGTTTCCAAAGACAGTTCTTTTGTTGGCCAATTTAGCATGTGCCGCTGATGATATCCTCTTGATGTGGGCCTCTGGGGGACAGGTTCAGTATGATATCAACACCCAGATCTTTCTCTCTAATTTGACTCTTGCAGGATTTCACCTCCCAAATAGTACATTGTGTTCAGCCTTCTGCTCCCTTTACCTAATTTCATTACTTAACACTTTCCTGGGTTAAACATTAGTAGCCATTTTCTAGACCATTCCTCTAGTTTGTCAAGGTCGTCACATAGTCACTGTCTATCTTCATCTATCTTAATTCTTCTCAATTTTTTCATCAGCAAACATTGAGAGGAGTGAGTCTGTACCCTCTGGAAGATCGTTTACATATATCAGAAACAGGATGGGTCCAGAGGCCTGTGGAACTCCGCTGGTGACGTTTCGTGAGTGAGTGAGTGAGTGAGTGAGTGAGTGAGTGAGTGAGTGAGAGACTTAAAAAGACAAGTAACGACAGGAAAATGAAGGGAATGTGTGATACTGCTCACTTCCCGCCAAGAAGAACAGGTCATTTCCTTAGCGAGTAATATTTCCGTTCGAGGAAACTGGCGTTTGTTACCAAGCGATCAGCTGGTAACAAATCAAAAGTAATCATCAAAAGAAGGCGCCAAACCGCAGTGTGTCACCCAAAATATATTCATAAGTTACGTGTAACATACTACAACAGCCAACAACCCTCACCCCAGTATACTTTACTCTCTGATATACCACTGACGTGAAGGAGTAACTTACCGGTCGCATATCAGGCATACTGTTTAAGCCTGTAACTATATGTTTGTATTGTAACTATCTTCACTAATTATGGGAGTCATGCATCCTGCGAGGCATAGTATTTCCGCTGGTGATTAAGTTCCTTTGTGTTGCGTGTGTTGGTGTGTCACCACGGGTCCGCTACCCAGTGTGCAGTTCCCGGTACCTTAATGGGGTGACTTTAATAATAATAGAATTTCACCGTGTCCGGGGACAGGCAGCCAGTGTGTGTGTGTGTGTGTGTGTGTACTCACCTAGTTGTGTTTGCGGGGGTTGAGCTTCGGCTCTTTGGTCTCGCCTCTACCAGCCAATCTACTGGTATACAGATTCCTGAGCTTCTCGAGCTCTATCATATCAACATTTGAAACTGTGTATGGAGTCAGCCTCCATCACATCACTTCTTAGTGCAGTTCATTTACTAACTACTCTGACACTGAAAAAGTTATTTCTAACGTCCCTGTGGCTCATTTGGGTACTCAGCTTTACCCTGTATCCCCCCTAGTGCGTGTGCAACCCCTGTTAAATAATCCATCCTTGTCTAACCTGTCAATTCCCCCAAGAAGTTTCTATGTGGTAATCATATCTTCCAGCGAAGTGAGGTGCAGTTCCCGCAGCCTTTCATCGTAACTCATGCCGTAACTTGTTCGCGTACCACCAGTGTTGAATAGTTTATCCTTGTT